CCAGACCCACACTCCAGCCAGCCTTAAGTGTGACTTATCTACAGACTCTGTGGAGAATTCCCTCGCCCCTGGTTGGCTGTAAAGCTGACAGTGTCTTTGTACTTAGGTCTCTTAGAGGCAATAGATCATCGGGTGTTGCTTTTCTTTTTCTCCAACATTTTGTTTTGGATATTCGGACAGTTGGCGTCTAATCTGATCATCGAGGTTAAGCGGCAGGTGTAAGAGTATAAACAACGTCCGTGGCCCGTCTCTTCTTCATTCCCTTTCCCTCTCTTTCTGCCCTCTTTTGGACTGACTATTTTTCATGATTGCATTGTGTCACCTGGCTCACTAGCTATAACTCCTTGCTCCTGGCTTGGCTGCTGTTGGGACTGCTTGAGGATATGGTATACAACTTGACCTTATCACATAATTATATTTTGGGGATGTTATTGGGGATTGAACCCAGGGGCACTCAACCACTGACCCCCCCCATCCCCAGCCCGATTTTGTACTTTATGTAGAGACAGGGCCTCACTGAGTTGCTTAGAGCCTCACTGTTGCTGAGGCTGGCTCTGAACTCGCCATCCTCCTGCCTCAGCCTCCTGAGCCACTGGAATTATGGACGTGGCACCATCACACCCAGCTTATCACATACTCTTAAGACTCCATTTTATCTCCTTCATTCACTTACTAACTATAAATCCTTGCTTTCTTCTTTTTGTGGATGATTTGGAGTTCATAGTGCACATCGTTATCACAGTCTGCCTTCAAGCCACCGAATGCCACTTCACCTGAAGTACAAGTACTTTTCTATAGAATATCCTGGTCCTTTGGCTATTGTTATCATACTTTTAAAATATTTTTCAAGTTGTAGATGGACACAGTGTCAGCACGCTGCTTTGTTCTAAGTTGCCACTAAGTCGCCACCAAGTCGCTGCCACCGACCTGACATACAGTACCTTTATTTTATTTATGTATTTATTTATTTACTTATTCATTTATTTGTATGTGGTGCTGAGGATGGAACCCAGGGCCTCCTTGTGCTAGGTGAGCCTCTACCACTCAGCCCCAGCCCCAGCCCCAGCCCCGTTATCATACTTTGTACCCAAACCTGTGCTATGAGCCTCATTCAACACTGTTTCTATTTTTTTAAGCAGTCGATTATCTTTTTTTCTTGGTTTCTTTTAGTTATACACGACAACAGAATTTACTTTATGAAAACACGGGATATAATCTGTTCTCCTTCGGCTTCCAGTTCTTCCCCTTCCCCTCCCTCCCCCCACCCCCAGTTCCCTTCCCTCCACTCTTCTAATCGTTCTGCTATTTACTTACATTTTTTTAAATAAGTGTCTTATGGATGTCCGTGGTGGTGGGATTCACTGTGTGTGTTCATGTATGTACATAGAAATGTCAGGTCAGATTCCTTCCACTGCCTTTTCTATCCCATCCCTCCTCCCTTCCCTTCATTCCCCTTTGTCTACTCCACTAATCTTCTATTCTTTTTTATTATTATTATTATTATTCCTGCTCCCTTATTTTGGATTTTGCTTCTGCATATCAGAGAAAACATTTGACCTTTGACTTTTGGGGACTGACTTAGCACTACTTAGTACTATTTCACTTAGCATGATAGTCTCCAGTTCCATACATTTATCAGCAAATGCCGTAAAGTTGTTGTTCTTTATGACTCAGTAATACTCCATTGTGTGTGTGTGTGTGTGCATCACATTTTCTTTATCTGTTCATCTGTTTTAATTCTCTTTTTAAAGGTTTAAATAATGGGGGGAACTTACATATTTATACATATTGTTACCATTTCTGGTGTTCTTCATTCTTCTGTGTAGATTCATTCTTTAATCTGATACCATGTTCCTTCCACCTGAAGAACTTCCGTTAACATTTCTCATAGTGAGGGTTGGCTGGTGATTAAGTCTTTAAATTTTTGTATATAAAAACATTTCTATGTTGTGTTACTTTTTGGAAGACGTTTCTGTAGGTGGAGTATTCTGGGTGGAAATATTGGTTATTTCAGTAAAGATGTTGCTCCACTGTTTTTTCTCTTGCCCTATTTCTGATGAGAAATCTGCTATCACCCTTATCTTTATTCCTCTGTATGTACTGTGTCTTTTTCTTAGTCTGCTTTTAAGATTTTCTTTTTACATTGACTTTGAGTAATCTGATTATTCTGCATCTTTCATGATATCATGTTTTTGTGTTCAAAGTTCCTTAATATTCTTGGTTCTATGTGCATAATTTTCATCAAATTTGGAAAATTGTTCAGCCTTCTTTCTTCTAACATTTTTCTCTCCTCACCTTTCCCTCCTTTTCTTAGGAATTCCATTTATACATACATGAGACCACTTGATTCTCTCACAGGATTCACTGAGGCTCTGTTTAATTTTCTCTTCTCTCTGAATTTCACTTTGAATAGTTCCTGTTGCTAGGACTTCCACTTCACCAATCTTCCCTTCAGCAATGTCTAATCTACCTTAAATACAATCCAGTGTATTCCTGAATTCATATGACTCTCTTAGTGTCCTTGTATGTTAATTATAACATTTGTATCAGTCTTTTTTTTAATTTTTTAATATTTATTTATTTTTTTAGTTTTCAGTGGACACAACATCTTTGTTTGTATGTGGTGCTGAGGATTGAACCCGGGCCGCACGCATGCCAGCCGAGCATGCTACCGTTTGAGCCACATCCTCAGCCCGTGTATCAGTCTTGATTGATATTTTTCCTCCATATTCTCATGCAGGTAACATTTTTCAATTCCAGAAATCATGGTTTTTACCTTGTTAGGAGCTGGTTGTTTGTATTCATATAAATATTCCAGAGCTATATTTTGGAGTACAAATAAGTTATTTGGAAGGCATTTATTCCTTCTGCTCTTGTTTGTAAGATTTTTTCATGAATTTTGAGAAATGTTCAGTCTATGGCTAATTATTCTCAATCACCAGGCAAGACTGTCCTACGTCCCACTGCTCCATAAATTGTGCACTGTGTTCAGTCTGGCTGATGGCAGCAGACATCGTCCTGGCCCTGAGTGAGCAATGGCACAGCTTCCTCCAGTCCTCTCCAGGGTTCATCCCTCACCTCAGGTGATCTCCTTACATGCACCCAGCAGTTGTCAGCTACACTCTCTACAAGACCCTCTGAAGGTCTCACCATCCCTCCCCGTGCAGCTCCAACCCTGCACCCTGTCCTGTGAACTCAGCTGCCTTGGTCCAGGAAGACTCTCCACCAGGGAGTACCTTGGGCTCCCCTGGGTTCCTCCTTCCTGCACTGCAGCTTGGAGACAAAGGCCACTACCTGAGGCGGTTGTAGGGGTCCTCTCTTTTGTTGTCATCCCTCAGGGATCACTGACCTTATTTCCTGACGTCCTGTGCCTTGAACAGTGGTTTGTTTCCACACGTGTTTTTCATTCTGTGGTTGTTTCTGTGGGAAGGCAGGTCCCTCACTGTGACTTTGTCTTGGCATTCATTTGCACTTGTGTGGAGGGGTGGTGTGTGCTCCTCTGTGTGTGCCTGTCGTGTGTGTGTGTGTGTGTGTGTGTGTGTGTCCTGGTCTCTGCTGATGATCCGTTTCTTTCTCCTCCACTTCTCCTCTTCTGGGACAGCCACAGACACAGAGATGATGAGAGGGACAGAGAGAGGATGGGAAAGACGTAGGAGGTGAGAGTCAGAGCACGGGTGGTAGAGGTGGGGGGAGACAGTGAGACTGTGACCTGGGAACATCAGGACACAGCCATTTGAGAGGCCTGTCTCTTGCAGTCCTGTGCCTCTCTGACTTGGGCTGGACACTCCTCTCCCCCGCCCCATCTTTCTCCTCCCTTCTTCTCTCCTTCTTGCTCTATATCTGTCCTTTCCTGGTCTCTGAGCTCCGGGAGCACAGAGTTGGGTCCAGGGTGATTGATGGTCTCCATTGCTGTGAATCTGCACCCTTCCTGTCCCAGACAGGGGTCAGATCCTAATTAATAAGTGAATGAAGAGGACTCCATCTGCCCTTCTCTCTCTTCCAAAATAGGGAGTCGACACATTTCCTGCAAAACCAAACTAACCACTTGCCACCACCAAAGAACCTGGTCTAGGGAGTGGGGACAGCTGAGTCATCCCGGGCATGAGCTCAGCTGAAGGCGGTGCTCAGTGTGAATCTCAAAGTCCAAGCGGCCATGCCCTATCCCCCCTGACCCAGGAGGAGGGAGCAGCACAGTGTGCCCTGTTTGTTCCTGACCTGGGAGAGGTGCCACCATGGACTTTCCTGACCTCAGGACCTTTCTCCTGCTGGGCTGGCTCTTGTGGCATTGAGCTTGGGTCCTCTTTCCGGCCCCAGGAAGCCGTGAAGGGCTTTCCACAGAGAAATTCACTGAGTCCTCACCTTTCAAGGAAGGTGCTGCTGTCGTCCCCCGTGTCGTGGAAGGAGGGAGTGAAGCACAGAGCTTGAGACCTGCCCAAGCCTCACCGGGGCAGCTATAGACGAGGTGTCAGACCCAGGCTGTCTAACCCGAGTGCCTGCTATTGTACCCACTTTGCTTCGCTGCCCCTCTCAGAGACATGGGCACACTCTGAGAAGTGCTTTCGAGTTAGAACGAAGCACTGATTTTTAGAGTCAGGCTTGAGTTCCCCCCACAGCTGGGCTGTTCATCGGTTGTGCTGACACTTGGCAAATGACTGCTCAGCTTAGCCTCAAGTGTCCTCATCTGGACGCTGTGGGTACCTATGCTGAAGGAACAGGGCACTTTGCTCATGCTCAGTGGATGCAGAGTTGCCACAGGGAAAGACACAGAGACTCAGAGTTGGAGGCTGAGGGTGGCAGAAAGACAGACAGACCAGGAAAGATGAGAGTGAGACAGGGAGGGACATGGCAAAGTGGTCACTCATTTATTCATTTGACCAGCATTTGTTGAGCACCTATTATGTGCCAGGCTCTCTTCCAGGCACTGGGGACAGAGCGATGAACCAAACAGGCCCTCAGGAGAGAGCATTCCAGCAGGAAAGACAGAAGCCAGGGAAACAGAGATGGACACAGCGATTCCCAGTGTCAAGGTGACGCTCTGGTGTGGCCTCCAGGTGCTCTTCTGCCAGCATCCGTCTTGATCTGTGCGTGTCCACTAAATGCCAAGGGCGAGGCGTTTCCATTGCCAGCCTTGGGTGAAGGACGGGAGGAGAGACACTTGGAGACGGGGGCCACCCTGGGAGACAGAAATGATGCTGAGGGGCAGCAGTCGGGCGGGAGGGGGGCAGAGACACGGGAAAGGGGCTGGAGATGGCGAAGAAGCCCGGAGATCTGGAGGGGGCTGGAGACAGGCCGAGGAGGGACTTGGGAGCCACAGACGCTGAGAGGCAGGGAAAGCAGTGGGAAGGATCCCGGCAGAACTGCCAGCCCCTCCCTGCCTGTGCCTGGGACTTGCAGGCGCTTGCACAGCTCCTTCCTCTTCCTGCTGGGCCTGCCCTGGTCCTGCGCTCAGGCCTGCCCAGCCCCATGGCCCTCCCAGTGGCTCTCCTCTCTTTCTTCCTCCTTCTCCTGCTGATGGGCCTGGTCCTCTGGAGCAGGGCTAGGGACGCGGGCGCTGGCCTGCCCCCGGCCCACCCCCCCCAGGGCTGGGCAACCTCCTGCAGCTGCGGGGGGCACCCCTCCTCCAGGCTGTGCTCAGGGTAAGCCCAGAAGGGGCTCAGAGCCCAGGCTGCCTCTGCGGCTCCCGCCCCCTCCCAGGACAGGTAACAGTGGGGACAGGGGACAGGCGCACGAGATGGCAGCAAGGAGGAGAAGGGTTTTCTAATCAGAAACACCTAGGGGTAAGAAGAGACATAGAGACAAGCAAAGAGAAGAGACAGAGAAGGAGGAGATCACCGAGAGAGGAGAGCCCGAGCCAGGAGAGGAAGAGAGAGGGTGGGCCGAGGTGCACAGGAAGAGCGAGCCGGGCTGTCACAGAGAGGCCGAGACACTGAGACCAAAGGAGGGCTGGGGGACCTCAGAGAGACCATCGTGAGATGGGAGAAGCCAAGAGAGGTGGCCACCAGCGAAGGGGCCCTGGAAGAAGCTGGGCTGGGATAGAGCAGAGCACGCGTGGCTCCGTGGAGACATGCAGGACAGGGCACTGAGAATCAGAGACAGAGACCGAGGTGCCCAGCGCTGCCCAGGAACCAAAAGAAACAGTGAGATGGAGACACACACTAGGGGGACAGCGACAGAGACCAAGGCCGAAGGAGACGACCCCCTGCCCAGAACGTGCAGACACACTCTGGACAGGCCCTGGGCAGCTCGGGTTCAAGGTCACTGTCCTGTCGCTGCAGCTGAAGGACCAGTATGGGCCGGTGTTCACGGTGCGCCTGGGCCCAACCCCGCTGGTGGTGCTGTGCGCAGCCCAGGCGGTGCGTGAGGCTCTAGTGGACCAAGCGGACGCCTTCGGGGGGCGCGCAGACGTGGCCATCTCCGAGAAGACCGACCGAGGCTACGGTGAGGCTGGAGGGGAGCGGGAGTGGCGGGCACAGGGCTCTGGTGACGCATCCCTGCGCCGTGTGTAAGTGCCCACGTGCCGGAAGCCAGAAGGTGTGGCCCCTTCCTGCAGTGTGACAGCCGGTAGGTTACCTAACCTCTCTGTGCCTCCCCTCCCTATCTGTGAGAATATTCTACTTGCTCCCTGCAGGCATCGCTTTCAGTCAGGGCGAGCGGTGGAGGACCCTGCGGAGGTTTGCCCTGACCACTCTTCGCGACCTGGGCCTGGGGAGGCGGAGCCTGGAAGAGCGGATCCAGGAGGAGCTGGGCTGCCTGGAGAGGGAGCTGGAGAGCGCGTGCGGTGAGGGCCTGGGGCCGGGAGGGTGCGTGGTGCACACAGGCTGCGAGTCCTGGGCTCCTGCGGGTGTAGGAGCGCGGGTGGGAATCCATTTCGTACTGAGAGTCCGCCCCCCTCACCTGTGGCCTTGACCAGCCCCTACCCCTTCCTCCCTGGTGGCCCCTGCCCTTAAAGAGAGCACATCCATTCTTTTTCCTTGGCCAATAGGAGAGTAAGTTTTATGTTAAATCTATGTTAAATTTAAAACCTCCGGGAGCTTGAGGGCAGAGCTACTGCTGGGGCCATAGGTTCCCCTCTGCGAATTAGAAAGGGTGCCCCTATCTCAGGACACCTGAGCTGTCATCATAGATATATTGAAGTGGCACCCCCTCCTCCATAGAAAAGTCCTAACTGGGCTGCTCCAGACATCCCCACCACGGCTGACTTTAGGACTGTCAGCAGAAGAGTCTCTGCAGCAGAGTCCATTGTAGATAAACTTCCTATTTTCCTGTCGCCCTGTTTACTTGGCCACTGGCCAGGAAGATACCATCCCTCCAGGTGCTGGACACCCCGTCACTAGTTTTTCACAAACATGTATCCAGTAGAGTAGTTTGTAGAAATGTGCAGACAAGGCCTCTGGCCTCGGGCTGGGCTTCACAGAGATGTCTACGTTCCTAAGAGGAGAGAAGTTACCGCCTGGGCTCCATGGTAACAGCTGGCAGGGGAGGAAAGAGAGGGGAGGAGAAGCTCCCCCCTTCTCAGGTGTTGTCCTTCAAGGGTTAACTTGCCCAGAACAGTGAGAGAAAAAGCTGCTTTATGTGAACTTCTGCAGACTGGGAACTTCTGAGCCCCTCCCCTTACATGCTGGGTATAAAACTCCTGAACTCGGGGTTCAGGGGGTTGATTGATTACAACCCCTGAACCTGGCTGCAGCCAAATAAAACTGTGTCCTGCTGTCTCCTGTGCCCTGCGTCGTCTGTCCCTACAGTGTCAGACGTGTCACTGGAGCCCCTCAGATGCCGCACCTTGGAGCAGTGCACAACCTGCACCATCTCCCGGATGCCCGTCCGCAGGACCTTAACAGAACCAAACCCTTGACCCAGAATGTATGTCCCCCTCCTTAGCCTGTCCAGCTGCAAATCCTGCACATTCAGGACTCGGCTCAGACGCACCGCTCCAGGAAGTCTCCGCTGACCAACCCTGTCCCCCTCCATGCCGGTTTGTCGGGGCCACCTCTGGGCTCCCAGGAGCTCTGTGCTTCCCCCCTCGCAGCGCAGACATTCCTGGGCCATGATGGGGACCACAGGAGAGGCTCTCGACCAGGCTGGGAGGGCTTGGAGGAGGCTCTCCGGAGGAGCTGTCTGTGCCTACTCTAAGTTCCATCTTTCTGTAGCCTACAGGGTGGTGGCAAGAGGCGAGGTTAGAGTGACAGGCAGGGCCAGACGTGGGAGGCCCTTTTGTCCTTGTTAAGGGCTTGACAGCTGCCTGGAGGGTGCACGGGAGCCATGGAATGTTTTAGAGCAGGGGAGTGAGTGGTCAGATGAGTGCCCAGCAGGCATCCCCGGGCTCTCACGTGTTGGCCTCCCCCCCACAGGAACGCCCTTTGACCCCACCTTCCCCATTCGCCGCTCCACGGCCAACATCATCTGCTCTGTGGTCTTTGGCTGCCGTTTCCACTACCAGGATGAGGACTTCAAGACCTTCCTGGGGCTGCTGGCCGAAAACCTCAAGCAGATGGACACGTTCTGGGTGCAGGTGCCTAAGTCCCCTCTCCAGTCCCCCCACCACCCCAGGGCCACAGGCCTCCTCCCAGGTCCCGTCGAACTCTCAGGGCCACCGTGATTCACCTCCACTGGGTGCAGCCTCCGCCCTGTCCTTATGGGGCCCACAGCCTTGGGGGACACACAGACCCATCGCCAGACCCGGGTGACCCAGAGTAGTCAGGCTGTGACAGCCAGCCAGCGCCCACTGAACCCCCGCTCTGTGCCAGCCTGTGCTGGGGGCTGCCAAGGACACAGAGGTGACCAGGGACTCCCTCATGAAGCCCTCACTCCAGGGGGGCAGGTGAACCTGTCGTGAGACAGTCACCACTTAGGATGGACAGTGCCAGGGTGGGGAGGCACAGAGAGGAGGTCAGGATGGGAAGGGAGGCACAGGCTGAGGAGTCGGGGCCAAGATAGGGAGGCTCTGTGGCACCTCAGGCACTGCCCGGCGGGGTCCAGAGGTCAGGGGAGGCTCTCTAGAGGACAGAGAGGACATTCCATCCAAGTGAAGACCTAAGCAGTGAACAGGAGCAAGCTGATGTGGGGGTGGGGGCAGAGAGGAAGTGCGTGGAATAGCATTTAAGGCAGAGGGAACAGCAGGTGCTAAGACATTTCTTCCCCATGGTCTCCTTCTCCCTCTAGGCATATGGTCTTTTCCCCGCTCTCCTGAGGCACCTTCCTGGACCACACAACCGGCTCTTTGAGGTCTCTGAGAAGCAGAAGGAGTTTATGGCCCGGGTGGTGAAGGAGCACCAGGACTCTGTCGACACAGCTCAGCCTCGGGACTTCATTGATGCTTTCCTCATCCGCATGCAGCAGGTGGGATTGCAGTGAGACACGCTCCTTTCTGGGTCTCAGGAGCCTGAGGTTCTTGGAGCGCCCTCAAATGAGACGGGTCCCCCCTGTGGCCTTTCAGGTTCCTGTGTAACCAGTTGCAATTTTCTCCAAATCTCGAGTTTTCTATTCATAAAATCCGGGGGCCAGTAGTGGAGCTTTGGTCCAGATTTGCAGCTGTAACCAGGCTCCATCTCGTGTGTTGTCTTTGTTCAGTTCATAACAGGGATCTGAGGAGATTTCTGAGTTTTTTTTGTGAAATAAATGCCTGCAGCCAGGTGTGGGGGCCCACGCCTGTAATCTTAGTGGCTCGGGAGGCTGAGGCAGGAGGATCGCAAGTTCAAAGCCAGCCTCAGCCACTTAGTGAGGCCCTAAGCGACTCAGTGAGACCCTGTCTGTAAATAAAATATAAAAAGGGCTGGGGCTGGGGCTCAGTGATAGAGTGCTTGCCTTGCACGTGCGAGGCCCTGGGTTGAATCCTCAGCACCACAAGTAAATAAACAAATAAAATAAAAGTATTGTGTCCAACTAAAAAAAAAAAAAAAAAAAAGTACTGTGCCGCAGTCTGGCTGGGCACAATTCAGGAGCCACTTGTCAAAAGTAATGAACTTTATTTTTAGAACCACACACGCCAAACAAAACAGCTCCTCAGGAAAAACCCTCAGAGCCCAACTGCCACCACCGGCTTCCCACAAGCCTCTCACAACCACCTCCCACAATCCTCCTGCTCTTGAGGCTGATTGGCTGGGTCGCATGGGTGGAGCCAAAAAAGTCCCCCAATGAGCAGCTCCGTGGTCTGAAAGGGCAGAGAAACAGCCCAATGAGCATCACCACAGAGGAGCCAATCAGCTAGATGTTGCTGGGGCCGCTGTGAGCCAATCATCAGCCGGCAGCTGGAAGTTTGCTGGGGCCCCTTTCGGCTGTGGCTCTCAACATCTCCCCCTCTCTGTTTAAACAACAAGCATGTGGCTTAGGGACCGTGCCTGCCTTAGGTTGTCCAATACTACATATGGTTCTTACCCGTTATCGGATGAGCTGACCTCAAGATGTCAGCCTCCTGTCTTAGGTTGGTACCATTGCAATTGGATCTGACCCGTCACTGACTACCAGTCCAGTATATAGCCACACCTGTGGAGGTCTTTGTACTAGTGGGGAGGTGAGGTTCTTTGCCTCACCTCTGTTGGCCCCCAAATTTTAGCTGAACGATCATGACAAGCAGAAGGGAGGAAGATACACCAAGCCAATTGATGGCTCCTTTTGGAAAAATTGTACCACCGATGACACCATCAGCATAAATACCCCAACACTACCACAAGTCGCTGCACCAACAGATAGTTCACAATGCATACAAGTGAGTTCACAATGCATACAAGTGATACATAGTCCAGGCAAGTTCTGCAAGCAGTTCAGTGATGGCTATTGCAGAAGCTGTAGATTGGTTTTATCTTTGTCTTCACCAGCACTGGGATGAAGATAGGAATTCTGGCAATAATGGCTAAAGAAAAAATTATGTAACAATCCAGAAGGCACTAAAAGAAAACAATTTTCTTAACAATTTACATTATCTTGAAGAGAATTATTAAATATAATGAAAAGGAAAGGTGAAAGTAAACAAACAGATCTGTTAACCTCCTTTTTTGTTCACATATTAAAACAATCCTCAACAGTTGTTTACCCAATTTAAATTAAACCATTTAAATCACGTGAATAAAAAAAAAATTTGGATCCATTTTTTCATGAGCGCTCATCATATATGATATATGGACATACGTACATTCAAACATATAACACAAAACACAAGTGTGCACACATAATATAATACATACAACACATAACATAATAGTAAAGGCCTTATAACTTTTTACAGGTGAAATCTCCATTGCAATGTTTAAAAACTCTATAGTCAAAAAAATAGAACTGATCAGCAAAACATTAATCTAGGTCTGTATGAGCTCAAAAAACAAAATGGAACTTCATGATATGGGAAAGGGCAATAATAAAATAGATATTGTAAAAAGCATCCTGGTTCTGTTGCAGATGTAAGAATAACCAAACTGGAGTTTTGGATATCAGTTGTTATGGATTTGAGCCAAATCATCTTCTTTTTGGTCTGTAGAAATCGCTTTAGTTAATCTCTCTGGAATCCAAATCGGCTGCTGTTCTCCCTGTGGAAACACACAAACAGGCCCCCGACTCCAGGCAATCACTGGGTCAGGACCTTAGTTAATCTCTCTGGAATCCAAATTGGCTGCTGTTCTCCCTGTGGAAACACACAAACAGACCCCCGACTCCAGACAATTACTGGGTCAGGACCTTTCCATTATCCTGTTAGAATATCCTTCCAAAGTACCTTGGGCTTATGTACATTTTTTGGACACATATGCCTTTCTGCAGCACTAAGTCCTGATGAATCCAAATTTAAAAAGTTTAGAGTAAAAAGGGTTATTTTAAGTTTATCTTTGGGGAATATATACCCCTTCCCAATTCCGTCTTTTTGCTTTAATAAGTACATTTTAATAGTTTGATGTGCGCTTTCAACTATGCCTTGTCCCTGTGGATTGTATGGGATTCCTGTTATATGAGTAATGCCAAATGATGAGCAAAACTGTTTAAAAGAGGTAGAAGTATAACCAGGGGCATTATCTGTTTTTAACTGTTTTGGAACGCCCACAGTGGCAAAATTTTGTAAGCAATGAGCTATAACATCTTTAGTTTTTTCTCTGGCATGAAGGGAACCCATCAAAAATCCAGAAGAAGTATCAACTGTAACATGCAAATATTTTAATTTTCCAAATTCTGGCAAGTGTGTGATGTCCATCTGCCAAATATGGTTAGGTATCAATCCTCTAGGATTGACTCCAAGATTAACTTGTGGTAAAAAGGTCACACAATTTTGACATTGTTTTATTATTTGTCTAGCTTGTTCCTTAGTTATTTTAAAACGCTTTTGTAAAGTATTAGCATTGACATGGAACTTTTTATGAAAATTTATAGCTTCTTCTAGTGTAGAGAAAATATGTATGTCATGTGTAGTTTTATCTGTTAAATCATTGCCCAAACTAAGGGCTCCAGGCAATCCTGTATGTGCCCTGATATGTCCTATAAAGAATGGATCTTTTCTGTCCCAGATTAGACTTTGTATAGTGGAAAGCAAAGAGAAAACAGTAGAGGAAGGGGAAATCCTATCAGCATCTTCAAGGGATACTATAGCATTAACTATATACTGACTATCAGAAAATAAATTAAATACAGAATCTTTAAACATCACAAAAGCATGTAATACTGCATTAAGCTCTACCTTTTGAGCTGATTGTTTGGGTACTAAAAATGTAAAAGTTTGATCAGGTGTAACTACTGCTGCTGTACCATTATTTGACCCATCAGTGAATATATTTGGAGCATTCATGATAGGTGTTTTTCTTGTCATTTTTGGAAAAATTACAGGATGTGATGACCAAAAAGACAATAAAGGATTAGATGGTAAGTGGTTATCAAATGAAACATTAGATTTGCACATGATTATTGCCCAAGTATTTAACTCATTAGCTAACTCATCAATTTGATTCATAGTATATGGAGTAATAATTTTATTGGGAGAAATTCCAAACACTCCCTTTGCTGCTTTTATTCCTTTGAGTATTAATTGTCCTACAGCCTCAGGACACCTAGTAAGAATAGTGTTAGGAGAATAAGATAAATGTTTCCATAATAATGGACCTTCTTCCCAAAATACTCCTGTAGGAATATTTTTTGTTGGTAGTACAATAAATAATAAAGGCAAACTTATATCAATTCTATCCAAATGCATATTTTCCATATATGTTTCAATGATTTTTAATGCCTTTCTTGCTTCAGGCGTTAACATTCTGGGTGAATTTGGATCTGATGGACCTTTTAGGATATCAAATAAAGGTCCCAACTCTCCTGTTGGTATACCTAGATAAGGCCTTATCCAGTTTATGTCTCCTAATAACTTTTGAAAGTCATTAATTGATTTGAGTTGATCTACTCGTATTTGAATTTTTGGTGGACGGACCATGGTTGAGGATAATAGAACTCCTAAATAATTAATTGTAAAATTTAATTGTACTTTATCTATTGCTATCTCTAGATTATAATTTTTTAATAAGTTTGTAAGTGTGGCATAACATTCTAGCAACGTGTTTTTAGCTTTGTGTGCTAATAATACATCATCCATATAGTGAAATATTTGTAGTTCAGGATTTTGATTTCTAAGTGGCTGGATTACTTTGTTAACATAAATTTGACACATAGTTGGGCTGTTAGCCATCCCTTGAGGGAGTACTTTCCACTCATATCTCTGATCAGGACCTTCATGATTTTTTTTTTTTTTTAGGACCTTCATGATTCAGTGCAGGGATAGTAAATGCAAAACGTGGACTATCCTCAGGATGAATTGGAATTGAAAAAAAAAACAATCTTTAATATCTATAACTAAAACATACTGAGTTTTTGGCAAAGCAGACAATTGAGGAATCCCCGATTGAGCAGATCCCATAATAACCATCTCATTATTAATGGCTCTTAAATCTTGCAATAATCTCCATTTACCAGATTTCTTTTTGATGACAAAGATGGGAGTATTATGGGGAGATACAGAAGGTTGTATATGTCCTTCCACTAATTGTTGTTTGACCAGGTCATGGGCTGCTTGTATCTTTTCTTGAGTCAGGGGCCACTGAGGAACCCATACTGGTCTTTCTGATTTCCAAGTAATTTTTATTGTCTCAGTGGCCCTTTCTGAAAATCCAACCCATGTCTGTCTATTCCTTGATCTATTTGTATTGGTGCTGCTATACCTTGTTCTTGTTTTTCTAATCTTTTTTCTTTCCTAAAACCTTGTCTAGTCATAATAGTGGGTGCATTTTGGTTGATGTTATTTGTTAATGTCAAACCTAATTGATCTAGGACATCTCGTCCCCATAAATTTACGGGAAGATGATCCAATACATATGGCTGTATAGTTCCTTCACATCCTTCAGGATCCTTCCAATCTAATACCATTGCACTTCTATGGGGATTAGTTGCCACTCGTAGGCCTCGAAGCATTTGAGTGGCTTGTTGTAATGGCCAATGTTTTGGCCATTCTTGACGAGAGATGATGCTAAGGTCTGCACCTGTATCCAGTAGCCCATTAAATTCATGTCCTTGAATATTTAATTTTAGCATGGGGTGAGAATCTAAATTTAAAGAAAGCATAGCCCAATCTACACCAGTGGAGCCTAATCCCTTGGAACCTCTTTCTACAGCATGACTGGAAAATTTATCATGTAGGCTTGGTATTATTAGTAACTGTGCTATTCTATCTCCTGGTGAAATTACTGATATACCCTTTGGAGAACTGGCTATAATTTTTATTTCACCTTCATAATCAGGATCAATTACCCCAGGACTTATCATAAGTCCTTTTAGAGTAGAAGAGCTGCGTCCCAATAATAAGCCTACCGTTCCTTTGGGAAGAGGTCCTTTTACCCCTGTGGGAATGATTTGAACTCCCATCTCTGGAGTTAGTACTGATCTCCCTGTCCATTTTTTGGCAATGGAGCCTGATGCCTTTCTCCACGATATCATGGATAAACACCTGGTCCTTGTTCATTTTTTGATAATGGAGTACCCTCTATGGTGGTTTGAGAATGGCATTCATTAGCCCAATGTCTCCCTCTACGGCATCGTGGGCAAATACCCGGTATTCTACTCCTTTGATACCTAGTTTTGTTAAACCCTCCTCCTATGGGGCAATTCCTTTTAAAATGTCCTGTTTGTTCACAATTGTAGCATGTTCTTGGCCTGGCATCTAAAGCCTGTTTTACTGCAGCTGCCACAATTTGCCCTTGTTCATTAATGTCTCTGGCATCTAAAGCCTGTTTTACTGCAGCTGCCACGACTTGCTCTTGTTCATTAATGTCTCTACATAATTTAATATATGTGTTTAAATCTTCATGTTTCCATAGTCTAATGATATCTCTGCACCAACGATTCGCTTGGTCATAAGCCAGTTGTTTTATTAATGGCATTGCTTGTTCTGTATTCCCCAAAACTCTGGTAGCTGTTTGAATAAGCCTATCTACAAATTCAGTGTAAGATTCATTAGCTCCTTGTATTACCTTAGACAATTGACCTTGTAAACCTCCATGTCCTTGTAAAGTCTTCCATGCCCTAACCGCCTCTACAGCAATTTGTGCGTATACGCCAGGATCATATGCAATTTGTTGCTGCTGATCCTCATAAGGTCCCTTTCCTAACAACATATCTAGATTTCTCTGAGGATAACCAGCTGCTGCATTTCGCCTAGCCGTCTCCTTGCAAAATTCCTCATTGGCAACCTTCCATAACAGGTATTGACCTCCATTTAGCACAGCTTTACACATATTAGCCCAATCTGCTGGCATCATGTTCAAGTTGTTAATGGATTCGACCAAGCTTACAGTGAAGGGTGCTTGAGGACCATAGGTTGTTACAGCCTCTTTTAGCTGCTTCACTATCTTGAAATTTAAAGCATGGTGAATTCGCTGCCCTCCTACCTCAAATACAGGGCATGTTAATACTTGAGATCCTGTCTCAGGATCCGAACTATCAACTGCGGGGGTTGGGGGCCTCCCAGCATATGGAGGTGGCCTTGTTAGTTGGACATTTATGTCCTCTGGTGATAGAAAGGTGTTAGTAACAGTCTCCTGTAGAGGTGGCGCTGTTGGTTGGACACTTACGCCCTCTGGTGATAGAAAGTTGTTAGTAGCAGTCTCCTTTTGTAACTTTCCCCCTGATGGCTTTTTCTGCTCTAAGCTTTGTTCCTCTATCTTTGTCTGAACTGAAGGCTTTGGACTAAGCAAACCAGATACGAACGTCCACAATGGCAATGTGCCAACTGGCAGAGTCCCTGGGCTGTTCTTTTCTATTCTTTTTAAATCTTCACCATGATGGTTCCATTGTGATATATTTAACAACTCCTCCTTAAAAAGCCATGGGCTACATTTTTGTATTGTATCAATGTATGCCCTGACTGTTCTTGATTTTACTGAGATGCCTCCTTCCTCTAACAATTTACTTAACACTCTTTCAGTTTGTTTTTTACTAATTTCTGATCCCGTATTTCTACTATAATACAATCCAACAAGATGACGCCAAACGAAACCGAGACAGAATGAAATAAAAAGGGAACAACAAAAAGTCATTATAGCCTTTCTATCCTCCTGACATGTGCATCCGTCCTTTCTCCCTATCTGTTCCTCAGACGTAAATAGTTTTTCCTCAGATGTGAGCGGTTTTTCTTCCGTCTCACTCATCTCCAGGGACAGGCAACTTAAAACAAAAGTGAAGCAAAACAAAAGAGGAATCTTAAAATGGGTACCCATCCTCTCGCCCTGCCCTCAGGGGCGAGTTTACCTTATCACTTACCCTCAGTCGCTCCTGCTCCCAGTGTGAGCCACCAAATGCCGCAGTCTGGCTGGGCACGATTCAGGAGCCACTTGTCAAAAGTAACGAACTTTATTTTTAGAACCACACATGCCAAACAAAACAGCCTCTCAGGAAAAACCCTCAGAGCCTCAACTGCCACCACTGGCTTCCCACAAGCCTCTCACAACCACCTCCCACAATCCTCCTGCTCTTGAGGCCGACTGGCTGGGTCACATGGGCGGAGCCAAAAAAGTCCCCCAATGAGCAGCTCCGTGGTCTGAAAGGGCAGGGAAACAGCCCAATGAGCATCACCACAGAGGAGCCAATCAGCTAGATGTTGCTAGGGCCACTGTGAGCCAATCATCCACCGGCAGCTGGAAGTTTGCTGGCAGCTGGAAGTTTGCTGGGGCCCCTTGGCTGTGGCTCTCAACAGTACTGGAATTGATTGGTAATGCCTGCTATGGGCAAAGAATTTGGCAGTGAATGTACACGTGCCACATATTTGCCTCCCCTGGGCTGGATGGTTCCTTTGGGTCCTTCTCTAGCTCAGATACTCTGTGCTTTTGTGTGCAGGAGCAGGGAGACCCTCACACAGAATTCAACCAAGAGAATTTGCTCAATTCTGCTCTGGACATCTTCTTTGCTGGGATGGAGACAACCAGTACCACGCTCAGATAGGGGCTCCTGATCCTCCTGAAGTTCCCACAGGTTACAGATATGGAGCCCAGGTTACGGGACCAGCCCTCTCCCTCCCCAGCCTGATGTCAAATTGGTACAAGGGCCAGTTTGTATTGCTGGGGGGGTTGGATTAGGAATTGGAGAACAACCTATTTTTTTTGGGGGGGGGCACCATGGGCTGAACCCAGGGGTGCTTAACCACTGAGCCACATCCCCAGCCCTTTTTATATTTTTATTTAGAGACAGTGCTTGCTAAGTTGCTTAAGACCTCACTAAGTTGTTGAGGCTGGCTTAAACTTGGGATCCTCCTGCCTCAGCCTCCCGAGTTTCTGGGATTACAGGCATGAGCCACGGTGCCTGGTGGGAACATCCATTTTAGAAGCTGGAGGGAAATTACAGTTAACACATCCTGGGTTTAAAGTCTGGGAAGGGGAGTTGGGAAGGCAGGCAGGTGCCCAGGGCAATCGCCCTTCCCACAGTCAAGACTGTCTGTTTCGCACCCATTTTTCGGAGGGAGCAGAACTCATACAGCAAGAGATTGACTAAGTAGTGGGCCCAGAGAGACAGCCCTGCCTCGGGGACAGGCCCCGGATGCCCTACACAGATACGGTCCTTCATGAGATCCAGAGGTTTGCGGACATCATGCCTCTGGGAGTGCCCCATGCCGTCACCCAAGACACTGAGTTCCAGGGTTATCACATCCCCAAGGTACAGAGTGTGGGTCCCTCTGGTCCATCTGGAGTGTCAGGTCTCCTACAGGAGCTGCAAGGCTGGGCCTCCCAGTACTAGGTTCTCGGATTCTCCCAGAACCTGACCCTCACTCCATGTCCCTCAACCCAAGGAGGACTGAGATTGCAGAGTACCAGAGTACATCAGTTAGAACTAGGGCCCTAGAGACATCCGGAATCCCAGCACTGCCACGTATAAATTGTGTGACCCTAAGCAAGTGACTCAACCTCTCTGAACGCCAGTCTCCTTTTCTATGCAATGTGCATTAATATACTACCTACACTGATTATAGAGATCCAGTGAGTTGGGATCCATAGTAAATGCTTAAAAATTGTAGGGTTTTGTTGTTGTTGTTGTTGTTGTTGTTGTTGTTTCTTTTTTATTATGACTACAACCAGATGTCTGTTCCCAACACCAAAGTCAGAGTGGTCTTATAAAACCCATTAGGGAGCCAGACCTGTAATCCTGGTGTCTCAGGAGACTAAGGCAGGAGGATTAGAAGTTTGAGGCCACCCTCAGCACCTAAGCAAGACCTTGTCTCAAAATAAGAAATTAAAAGGGTTGGGGAATATATCTCAGTGGTTAAGTGCCCCTGGGTTCAATCCCCAGTAACACCAAAACTAATAAGTAAAAAATAAAACCTGTTAGACCACGTCCCTCCTCTGCTCAAAAGCCCTCCATGGCTCCCATCTCACTGGAAATAAAAGCCAAATGGCCCAGGAGACCCTGCATGCTCTGACACCTCTCTCTGGGCTTGTTATACTCTCTTTCTTGCTCAATCCAGGATCTTGGTGTCCTCAGTATCCCTGCATGTTCCAGGGCTCCTCTGCCTCAGGACCTTGGCACGGACTGTTCCCTCTGTCCTGAGTGCTCTTCCTGCAGACAGCCCCACAGCCTGCTCCCCCTGTCCTTCAGAACTTACCCAGCAGTCTCCTCCTCCTCCTCCTCCTCCTCGGGGAGGCCTCCTTGGCCCCTCAAGAGCCACTGGGCATGGTGCCCAGGGGAGTGTCTGTTGGTTTTGGTCCAAGTCAGGCATCTGCGTCTGTCCTAGGGAGTGGGTGCAATCTACCCTCCGTGCTCCTCAGCAGTTCAGTGTCCCCAGATGTCCTAGCATTCGCTGCCTGGCTCACTTGCCCAAACTGACAGCAAAAAAGGTGCCCTTTGGGAGAGGGAGCAGGAAACGGGTGACTTTTGCAAAAGCAGCGAGAACAGTGAAGGAGGATCCAAACCACTGAGTGCCCTCGTGGGGGCTGTTCCAGCTGTTCCACGGTCACTGTGGCACAAGCAACAGCAGGGCGGCCACAGTCCTCGAGAGGCACCTGTGTGAGACTTCAAAGGCACCTCCCCTGGGCCCAAGGCTCCTCTCAAATGCCTGGCATCAACAAAAAGCCCTTCTGGGACTCGGGTCCTGCTGGTGCTGGGCACAGACTTGTGTTGTCACTGGTTATTATTACTTAAGGGGTAGCCCTGAGCGAGGGCGATGACCATCAGAACCGACGGCAATAATAATAAGCGCTTGCTGAGTCTGTATCAAGTGACAAGCGTTTCTCTCTGCAGATGGGGGCGACTTGCCATCTTCCAACCTCCCGGCGGTGCAAAAACAAAGCACCCTCACCGGGAACCCTTCTTGGGATTTTGAATTTTGACCTTTCCCGGGCTGCGTGAGGCCATCTGGAGACTCAGGACAGGGGCCACAACTCCGGGTCAGCCACACAGTGGTCACACGGTGGTCACAGGGGGCAACAGACACCTCAGAGCCCTGGGCGGCTCAGGTGGAGTAAATGTGTCTTCAATTGACAGTAGGATTCGTTCCCATGGCAACTGGAGGGGCACCCTCCCTATTTCCTTGACTCCTCTGAGTTATTATGCCCCTTTTACAAGGGGAGGGACTAAGATTCAGAGAGGAGTCACCTGCCAGGTCACCCCGCTGGGAAGGAACCCAGCTGGGACTTACTCCACCGACCCCAGAGCACACCCTCTTCCCCCACTGCTGTTCCCAGTTGGACTAGGCCCAGGAAGCTTTGGCTCAGGTGGCAGGAGCCCCCTCCAGGTGTTGACCTGGGTGGATGATCTGTGCTGACTCCTCCCACAAGGCACCACGGTGTTCCCACTGCTCCACTCCGTCCTCCGTGACCCTGACCAGTTCCAAGACCCGTCCTACTTCCAGCCTGAGAGGCTCCTAGATGCCGGCGGAGCTTTTAGGAGAAGCCCTGCCTTTCTGCCCTTCTCTGCAGGTCAGTGTCCATGCTGCATGACTCCAAGGAGGAGGCCTGCCCTCTCTGGTCCTCTTTTGTTAACCTAAACTAGTTACTGCTTTTCTGATTGCTGGTTTGGAAGATAGAAGCTACAGCCAGGCTCAGGGAAGGGAAATACAAATCTGCCCCAGGTACACTGAATCCTGAGAGCACAGAGTTCACTCAGAAACTATAAATTGTGTTAGGCCATAAAAAAACACCCAAAGCTTAGTTAAAAAAAAAAAAAATCCATTTGGGAAAAAAAAAAAAAAGACTAATCCCCCAAGTTCTAAATCAAAGCACATTTAATCCAAAATACTCAATGCTTTTTCAATGATCACTTTTGTTAGAGTTACCAAAAAGTTACAAGCTGTGTAAACACTAGCAAATATTTTTATTTAAACCAGTTTTTAATTGTATGTGTAGTGCAAACACTTGATTTGAAAGTCAAGCAGAACAAGAGTCCACAATGAAAGTGAAGTCTCTCTCTTTGATTCTGTTCCCCCTATTGACGGTCCTAAGTCCAGAGGTAAACACCTCTTATGGTTTTATGTGTCTCCTTCAGGAATTTGTCTAAATAAAGGCAAGTCCAAATACCAACTGACACACACAGTTTACAAAACCAGGTGAGCCTAGGGTCATAGTCTGTGTTCCAATAATAAAATACCTGAGGCTGGGTATGCTCTAAAGGAAAGAGTCTGTTCAGCTCAGTTTTAGAAGGTGGAAAGTTCAGGGGCTGGAGATGTAGCAAAAACAAATAAATAAATAAAGCCAGATGCCAGTGCCGGCCTATATCCCAGCAGCTTGGGAGGTTGAGGCAGGATCGCAAGTTCAAAGCCTCAGCAATTTAGCAAGGCCCTAAGCAACTCAGTGAGGCCCTGTCCCTAAATAAAATATAAGAAGGAGCTGAGGATGTGGCTCAGTGGTTAAGCACCCCTGGATTCAATCCCCAGTACCAAAAAAGAAAAAGAAAATACCCCTTTAAGGAGGAAATCAGGGAATATGGAGCTGAATTCATGATCTTTGGTTTGAATGTCCTGTAATAACAGGTATCAGTCTGTTGAGAAGGTGACCTAATCACCCCTTAAAGGTCACCCTTAATAGGGTCACAATGGCAATGCAATTTCAGCATAATTTTGGGAGGGGACTCATTCATTTCATATGAATGTATTCACCCCAATTTCTTCTGCCTCACACACCTGCTCACTTGCCCTTCTGCCATGAGTCACCAGGACACAGAAGTGCCACACTCTTGATCCTCCCAGTCTCCAGATAAACTTCCATTCTTTATCACCCAGCCTCCGAATCACAATCCCCCCGCCCTTTTTTTTTTTTTTTTCTCTCTCTCTCTCTCTTTTGGACCCAGATGCGCTTTACCAAAGAGCTTCATCCCAGCCCTTGTTTAGTTTTTATTTTGAGGGACTTTTGCTTAGGGCCTCTCTAAGTTGCTGAGACTGGCCTTGAACTTGCGATCCTCCTGCGTCAGCCTCCCAAGTTGCCGGCATTGCCAGCTTGCCCCACTGCACCAGGCTCAGACTGCGGCCCCGAGGTCCTTAGATCTGCTTCGTCGGTACCGGACTCTAGGGGCCCTGATCTCCGAACCCCCCACCCTCTCGGCGGTACCCCCGCCTCCTCCAGGCGGATCTCCCTCCTCCGCTCCCCGCCCCCTCCCTCCCGGCTGATCTCGGCACCGCCCACTCCCGCAGGGCGCCGCGCATGCCCAGGAGAGGCTCTGGCCGGCGCCGAGCTCTTCCTCTGCCAGAGGTGGCTGCTGCAGCGCTTCTCCCCCACCTCGCCTCTGCCCTCTGCGGCCCTGCACCTGCAGCCCCGGGACAGTGGCTTCGGGAAGCAGCCACCCGCTTTCCAGCTCATCCTGCAGCCACTAGAGCACTTCAGACCCAAGGACTCCTCCCACCCTGACAGCCCCCCTCCCGTGGCCTGAGCCTGAGCCTCCCGCAGCGCCTGGCCTCGGCTCCCCCTGTACACAACGCAGAGGGTTTTGTTGGGTCCACCTTTAGGCTCCGGAGCCTGACTCCACGGTCTGGGTCTTCCCTCCCCTGGCCACTGCTGATTCCTGGAAGAGCAGCTGACACATAGTAGGTGCTCAGTAAACATCTCCTGAATAAATGAAAGTTTTTCAATGAAACCTGGCCCTGACACTTATTCTGGCCATGTGACCCTGGTCAAGTGGCTTCCCTCTCACAGCCTCAGTTCCTTCCTCTGTAAAATGGGGTCATAAAAAAGACCTGCTTCAAAGGTGCGTGGGACAGCACAGCAAAACAGACAAAACTCTTGTCCTTGCAGACCTGCCACAGGGGACTGGAAGGGAATAAAGAGTAATCAAAGGATATAAGAAATTACCAAATTGTATGAAATGACAGAAAGGTATTAAATCTATGGGGGGGATCGCAGCAGGTGAGGGGAGCAGGAGTACGGGAGGGGGCTGTTTGTCATTTCATATGGGGTGGACAGAGAAGACCTTGCAGAGGACAGAGCAATGGAACAGAAATGTCAAGGTGAGAGTGCTCAGCACGGATGTCTAAATGAGAACAACTCCAGGCAGCGGGAACAGCCCCTGCAAAGGCCCCGTGGCAGAAATGTGCCTGGAGTTTGAAGAGGCAAGAAGGTGAGTGAGCAGGGCTCTGCAGATGGGAACAGAGAGGGGGTACAAATGGAACCTGTAGAAAGAGTTTGGCCAGAGAAGGGACTTGCTCTGATTTTTGGTATTTGGGCTTTGACTTTTGTTTTTGTAGTGCTCAGGATGAACCCAGAGCCTCTCAGGTATTCTAGGCAAGGACTCTACCACTGAGCTACACTCCCAGCCCCTGGTTTATGTCTTAAAGGAATCCCTCTAGCTGCACACCGGTCTGTGCTCAAGTAGCCCCTGAAGTAGGTGCTGGAACAAGGGTCTCCAAAGTCATTTCCTCCATCCCCCTGCCTCCACCCACAGCCTGCAGGAGCAGAGTGCCAGGCCCAGGTAGCCACACTCTTGTGAGCCATGGAACCTAGGGGAAGGGGAGAGAGGGATCACATACTCCCGCCTTCTCCCCGCCATATCTCTCTCTCTCTCTCTCTCTCTCTCTCTCTCTCTCTCTCTCTCTCTCTCTCGCTCTCTCTCCCCCCCCCTGTCTTTTGCATAACTCTGTCTCAGGTTAGGTAAAATGCTCCGTTAGGCAAAGGCACACAGGGAACCAGGACAGCTGAAGCGTCTGCTCCCTACTGCCCCCTGTTGGCTGATGGGTTTATTGCAAGGTGATTTGTTTGCCTGAATCTGCCAGATTCCATCCAGTTGACACATCCTGACCTGGCTTCATTATTAACAGCACCTCTTCCACTCTCTGAACAATCCCAGTGCAGACAATATGTTATACGGTGACTTTTTTTAAATGCACTTTAATTTTACAGCCTGGTTGGGGTTTTTTGTTTGTTTGGTTGGTTGGTTGGTTGGCTTTTTTGTTACTGGGGACTGAACCTAGGGGTGCTTTACCATTAAACCACATCCCCAGCCTTTTTTTTTTATTGTTTTGAGACAGGGTGTTGCTAAAGTTACTTAGGGCCTCACTAAACTGCTAGGACTGGTCTTGAACTTGCAATTCTCCTGCCTCAGCCTCCACGTCAATGGGATGACAGACCTGTACCCCTGTGCCCAGCCTACACTCACCCTTAACCATGACATGGTTTTGTCTCCGCAATAACCCAGCAGCAATTCCTGTTCATTGATCATTTACTCATGCTAGTGCGGCCCTCAGGTATGTCAGGCATTATTGCATTTTACATTGGCAAAGTAGACACTCCAAGAGGTGAAGGGAGGGATGAACAGGAGCAGATCTGAGGGAGGGTCCTTCTGAATGTTGGGTCCAGGATCTCACCAGCCATGGCTACATGAACACCCAGGGAGTTCTGAAATGGTGGAACTGCGGCAATTTAGGGTCTTGGGGCCAAGGCTTGGCATGGCTGGCGTGCTAGTAAAATTCTGAAGCACCTCCTGGATGGGCTGATAAATACTCACCACCTGAGGGTCCCGAGCCCACCCCAGCACCCTCAGAGCTCCCCAGAATCCAGCACTCAGAGAGTTAATGCTTGCCTCTGCAGCACATCCGGTGTCTAACATCAGGTAACATAATCTCTGCTTAGAACTATAATGGGACAATTCTAGCTGGAGGTGGGGATTGAAGCTCAGGGAAGAACTGTCAAGTTCACACAAAAAGGTAAAGAGAAAGGAGCCAAAGCCCGGGGCCTCTTCTCTGTTGACACTCCTGGGCACAGGCCATCTGAACCCTGGGGACAAACAACACCCCTGACAACAAGCCTTAATCTCTGGAGGAATTTCTCTTGGAAGGAGGCCCTGAGGTCAGAGCAGGTACTCCATCCTCTCTTCAGAGGAACTGGGGCCTGCGGGTCCCCACCATGTTATCCTCCCAAAATACTTCTGTTATCCAATTTTATTTTTATTTTATTTTTTTAGTACTAGCGATTGAACCAATGGACACCCTACCACTGAGCTACATCCCCAGCCCTTTTTATTTTTTAGTTGGAGATGGGGGTCTCACTGAGTTGCCCAGGCTGGCCTCAAACTTGAAATCCTCCTGCCTCAGCCTCCCATGTAGCTGGGATTGCCAGCATGTGCCACGTTCCTGGCTTGATGTCCGTTTCTTGCCTTCTGGGGGTTTAATAAATAAATAGTAACACCTTGTCAGTTGGTTGAATACTGTGAACAAGAACAAAGCTAAGTGGGAGGACAAAGAGCCCTGGCCAGGCTTCAGCCAGGCAGTCAGGCAAGAGGGTGAGCCCCCTGGAGGCACTGAGGTCACAAGGCATGAAAATACCCGGGGACTGGACATGAAGCTGGCTCAGCAGCACCTTGTCCAAAGCTTGAACTTTCGTCCCAAAGGCAGAGGGTAGGGGCATGATCAGAACTGCATTTTGACAAGAGGCCTGTGGCTGCTGTGAAAAGAGGGACAAAGGGAGCTCTTGAGAAGCCAAGGCAGGAAGCAGGCAAGGAGCCTGCTCCACGGTGGCTGCATAAGTCAGCCAGGCTGGCAGAACAAAGTGCCACAGACTGGGTGGCCCCAACAACAGAACATACTGGAGGATAGACACCAGGATCAAAATGTCAGAGGCAATGCTTCCTTCCAAGTGCTGTTGGGGGAGTCCCCCGCCTTCCGGTGAGTTGCTGCCAACCTTTGGTGCTTCGTGGCCTGGAGACATAGACCTGCTCTCTGATTTCATCCTCGCATGGCCGTCTCCCTATGCATTTCACTCTGTCCAAATGTCCCTTTGGTAAGAACACAACTGTGGGCTGGGGATGTGGCTCAAGCGGTAGCGTGCTCGCCTGGCATGTGTGCGGCCTGGGTTCCATCCTCAGCACCACATACAGACAAAGATGTTGTGTCTGACGAAAACTGAAAAATAAATATTAAAAAAAAAATTCTCTCACTCTCTCTTAAAAAAAAAAAAAAGAAGAAGAAGAAGAAGAAGACAACTGTGTTGCAATGAAGCCACTTGAGGACCTACCGGCACCTTAACTTAACCCTTTGTAAAGACTCAATCTCCAAATAAGCTCCCACTTTCACAGGCAGAAAAGGTTAGGATTTCAATATCATTTTGCAGGGGGCAAATTCAAAGAATAACAGTGGCAGAGATGCAGAGATCTGTTCAAGAGATGCTCAGGAGGTAAACTGGCGGGATCTAGGATGGGATTGGCAGAAGAAACTTGAAGGTCCTCTGTTAAAGGCTTCTTCCTCAGGGGGGAAGATATTGGGAGGTGAGGGAAATTTTAGGAGTCGGGGTCTGACCGGAAGTCCTTAGGTCACTGGGGTGTGCTCTGTCCTTGGTCTTTGTTCTCCCCCTCCTGGCCGTGAGATAAACAGCTTGTCCTGTCGTGTGCTCCCCACCGCGGCCATCTAGCTAGCACACCCACTAGAGGCCGAAAAGCAATGGACCACAACCTCTAAAACCACAGGCCACATCCCTGATACAAAAACAAGGAAACCATAGGCCAAAATAAGCCTAAGAGTTTTGTTACAGTGACAGAAAGATGACAACGCACCTGTACTAAATGCTTTCCCTACAGTATCATACTGAGTCCTGAGAGTTGTCTATTGTGAACTGTGTGATATACAGAGAACACACTCACTTCAAAATACTTGTTAAAAATAATCATTTTATAAAGGAGGACACTAAGCGGTAGGCTGGCGAAGTCACTTGTCCAAGGTCATGAGGATTGTAGATGCTGGAACTGAAAATTCTGACTCAGGTGTGATTGACAGAGGCTCAAATCTCAATCACTTCTCAAGAAAACCGGCTTCTAAAAGTTCCTGCGGCTTCTAGGAAGACTCCCCCCTCTAGTGCCCACTCCGAACCAAAGTTCCCATTTTTGCAAACAACTTCCCTTTGTCGTCTTTGCTGAATTTCCCGATCTACTTGGGCAGTTGAGAGAGTCCCTGTAGGAAAGACAGGGAAGATGAAGGCAGATCCATGTCCAGGAGGAGGTGTCCAGGGAGAGGGGCGCGCACAGGATCTAGGTGGCACCATACATCCCCGTCTATGAATCATCCCGACAACTCGAAGTCGATACTATTACTATCTCCATTTTTAAAATGAATAAAATGAGGCTAAGATAAAGGCTGCATCCCAACCTGAGAGATTAAGAGGCTTCCGCTGGGCAGTGCTAGCCGGGATCCAAGCTCAAAGTAACAATCTAAGTCTGAGCTCTTAGTGGTGAGCGCCCCCTGGTGGCGACTGGCCCGAATTACAACAAGATAGCGTAACTGAGGGCCAGGCGTTGTTCCAGGTTCTTGGATTTCATTTAAATTTATTTCTTTAATCCCTTCTCCTAAGGAGATTTATCGCTTTCACCCCCTCCCCACTTTTCATTTTTTTTTTCTTTCTTTAAAAAAATTGTTTCATTGTGGGAGATGTCAATCATTCAGCTCTAACGACAATCCACTCAAGGCCAATCTTGTCTATACTCCCAATATTCCCCTCCACGCCCCTCCAAAAAAAATTTTTCCAGAATTATTTAAATCAAAGCCCAGACACTGTATCCATTCACCTGTAAATATTTTCACTATGTATCTATAAAATTATCCCCATTTTGTATGAAGACAGGAATGGGTGTGAATATACTTTGTATACAACCAGAGATATGAAAAATTGTGCTCTATATGTGAAGTAAGAATTGTAATGCATTCCACTGTCATATATAAATTGAAAAATAAAATAAATTTTAAAGAATTATCCCCATTTTGCCATTGGGGAAATGGAGGTATAGGGAGGTCTCAGAACTTGATCAGTCACTTTGCTAATGGGGTGCAGATCAAACTGGATCGAACTCCAGTAGTCTGCCTGCTTACTAAAAAACTAAGTATGCCAAGTGCAGTGGTGCACACCTGTAATCCCAGGGGCTCCAGAGGCTGAGGCAGGAGGATCCAGGCAGGAGTTCAAAGCCAGCCTCAGCAACTAAACAAGGCCCTGAGTTAAATAAAGAAAAAAAGAAAGAAAAAATCAGGTGACCATGAACTGGTACCACGATTGGACCCAAAAGTGCTTAACCACTGAGCCACATCCTGGGACCTTTTTAATTTTTTATTTTGAAACAGGATCTCACTAAGTTTCTTAGAGCCTTACTAAGTTGCTGAGGCTGGCCTCAAACTTCCAATCCACCTGCCTGAGTCTCCCAAGCCACTAGGATTACAGACATGTGCCACCGTGCCTGGCTAACCTTTCCCCTTTTAAAACTGATTAAGAGAAAAAAAAAAACTGATTTATCTCAAGTTGTTGTCAGAGCAATGGAAAGCTGGCAACACAGGAGGGGTGGCCTTTGGGAGATGATTACATTGTGAGGACTCCACCCTCATGAATGGGATGAGATGCCCTTATAGAAGTTGATAAAGGGACTTTACTCCTTTTGGCCACCATTTTCCATCCTTCCCCTCTAAAGGACACTGCATTCAGGGCACCATCTTGGAAACAGAAGCTAAACACTTACTAGGCACTGAACCGGCCAGTGCCTTGACCTTGAATTTCCAGCCTCCAGATCTGTGAGGGTATTCTGTTCTTTATAATGTACCCAGTCTGTGGTATTTGGTATAGCAACACAAAAACAGACATAGCTGGATGGATCCATAGACAGATGGATAGATAAGATAGAACAATGGTCTAGGAGTGGGTTAAATAAAGAATGTAATGTTTGGGGTGATGGCAAACACCTGTGATCCCAGCAACCTGGGAGGCTGAGGCAGAAGAATCACAAATTCAAAACCAGCCTCAGCAACTTAGCAAGACCCGGTCTCAGAATTAAAAAATAAAAAGAACTAGGGATGTAGCTCAGTGGCTAAACACTTCCAGGGTCAATCCCTGGTACCAAAAAATAAAAACAAGCAAACGTACCTTAAAAGACAAAGGTCAGAATAATGTCTATATTTGGTGGTTATCAAATGGAAAAGGGGCATGACAGAGCCATTTAAGGTCAATTTAAGCCCATGTGTCTATTATGCACATGTCCCAGTGAGCTGTGTGCTTACAAGTGATGCCTAAACAAAATGAGGGCAAAGAAGCAGAATGAATAAATTGCCATCTATTCATAAGGGCATTACTATAAAGCAAGGAAAATGAATGAACTATGGCTTTAGACAACAAGAATGAATCACAGAAACCTAGTTTTGAACAAAGGAGCCAGTTACAAGACAATACATAACCGTGCAAAGTATACCAAAACAGGCACTTCATGATGGTACTGAGGAAATCAAATGCCAAACCAACCATGAAGTGCTAAAATCCTATGAAAGTCAGCGGGGGAAATGCTTTTCTTTAAGGGGAAGGAAGTGGTCATCATTGGTGGAAGAGCTGAGGAGCCCAGTGGTGGCTGGTACTAGTAAAAAAAAAAAAAAAAAAAAAAAAAAAACCCTCAGGTGGTTGGTGCAGCCTTTGAAATGGGTTCCCTGATTTCAATGGAAAAGATGGATTCCAGGCCAAAATATGGAAAGTGAAAGATTTGAACAGACTTTGCACCAAAGAAAATACACAGATGGGGCTGGGGATGTGGCTCAAGCGGTAGCGCGCTCGCCTGGCATGCGTGCGGCGCGGGTTCGATCCTCAGCACCACATACAAACAAAGATGTTGTGTCCGCCGAAAACTAAAAAAATAAATATTAAAAATTCTCTCTCTCTCTTAAAAAAAAAGAAAGAAAGAAAATACACAGATGATCAAAAAGTGTGGGAAAAGATGCTCAACAACCCAAAAAATTAGGAAACTCAAAAAAAAATTGAAACCATGATGAAATTTAGGGGCGAGGATGGGAAGTGGCCTGATCCCTGGTTCCATGCTCTACTGCTCGCCCCTGTGGCCCCACAATTACAGCCAACACCAGGCCATTCCGTCTCCGTCTCCGCAGTGCCTTCGGTGGCTGACAGGGCCCAGCAAGTGAGGGTCCTTGGTTAAAAGAGACTCAGAAGAGTCAAAAGCCTTTCCCATGGTCTTCGGAAGACAAAGGTTGTTCAATGGCCTTAAAAAAAAAAAAAAAAAAAAAAAAAAAAAACTTCTGGTTTTCTTCTATGAAGTCTCTAGTTTTCCCTTAGTTGACTTTTTTTTAAAGTCCAGTGGCACACGCCTATCATCTCAGCAACTCAGGAAGCTGAGGCAGGAGGATCTCAGGTTCAAGGCCAGCCTCAGAAACTTATGGAGACCCTAGTGGGAAAGCGCTCCTGGGTTCAATATCCAGTACCAAAAAATAAAATGCTACCTACCTACTTCTCAGTGGTATTGTGAAGATTTAACAAAGGGTTTACCGTAAAGCTGGAGGTAGGAAGCCTTCAATTAACGTTAGCTACTACTGCTATTGTTAATGTTAACAATATATCCATATTAATATTTGCATACAGATTTTTGAGGGCCCCTCACACACTAGGCATATACCCATGCACCCTATCACTAAGCTACAGCCCCAGCTCACACAGATTGTTTTTTTGTTGTTTTGTTCTGTTTTTGTACCAGGTATTGAACCTACCACTGAGCCACACACACACACCCAGTCCTTTTTTACTTTTTTAAATTTTTAAACAGGGTCTCACTGAGTTGCCTAGGGCCTCACTAAATTGCCAAGGCTGGCTTTGAACTTGAGATCCTCCTGCCTCAGACTCCTGAGTCTCTGAGATTACAGGCATGCATCACCACGCTGGGCTCACACAGATAATTTTGACCCACCAAAAGCCTCACCCACCTCCATACACTAAACCAGAGCTACGTATGTCAAACACTGTGCTTAAGGAAAAGAACTTCGCTGGGTGCGGTGGCACAGTCCTGTAATCCCAGCAGCTCCAGAGGCTGAGGCAGGAGGAGGTTCAAAGCCAGCCTCAGTAACAGCAAGGGGCTTAGCAACTCAGTAAGACCCTGTCTCTAACATAAATAAAATACAAAGTAGGACTGGGGATGCGGCTCAGCGGAGGGAGGGAGAGAGGAAGGAAGGAAGGACGGACGGATTTTGTCATTGCCAGAACATCTCAGTTCAGTCATGCTCCAGTTGTGAATTTAAGTAACTGTGTCACTTCTCTGAGCCTCAGTTTTCTTATCTGTTAAGAGGGAATACCAAGAGGCTGGGGATGTGGCTCAAGTGGTAGAGCGCTCGCCTGGCATGCCTGCGGCCTGGTTGGATCCTCAGCACCACATACAAACAAAGATGTTGTGTCCGCCAAGAGCTAAAAATAAATAAATAAATATTTTTTTAAAATTCTCTCTCTCTCTCTCTCTCTCTCTTTAAAAAAAAAAAAAAAAAAAGAGGGAATACCAAGCGTACTTCCCTTTGGAATGTTGAGAGTTAAATGGGATCCGGGGACTGGGGATGTGGCTCAAGCAGTACCGCGCTTGCCTAGCCCAGGTTCGATCCTCAGCACCACAAACAAAGATGTTGTGTCTGCCGAAAATATTAAAAAATTCTCTCTCTCTCTCTCTCTCTCTCTCTCTCTCTCTCTCTCTCTCTCTCTCTCTCTCTCTCAAATAAATAAATAAATAATGGGATCCGGGTACCTTCCCCTCTCCCTCTCCACCTGCCACTCAAGCTATTTCTGACCTCTCCCACCCCACCCCCACCCCTCCTCCACACCTCAGCTCCGCCCCAGAGCATTTTTGCTCACAGCGCCACCTGGTGGTCTGGAGGGTCTGATCCTTGGAGAGGAGTTCAATGAGACTGGAAGTGGGTACCTGGGAGCGGGTGCTGACCTGTGGAGGGTTATGGAGCCCTGGAGTGCCCTGAGACATTCCCCGTTGTTACTAGAAAGGAGCTGAGGAGCACTTAGTCAGCTGGGAAATGGGTGACCCTGTGCATGTTGTGTCTGAGTCTGGGTGGGTCTGGGGTTTCATGAAAGTATAACCGGGATTTACAGAAGCTGTTTTTGCTAAAAGCACAGACTCTTAGGTCTGCAGATGCCCTAGGGATAACTCAAAGCAAGATAAAGCTTAACATCTTTGCCTTCATTTTGCACCTGTCTCCTTTATTACCTTAAACTTTGGGTGAGGTCCCGCTTAGCTCTTATACTCAGGCACTAAGGAGCCTTCATCTAAAATTTAGTAATACCAGGTTTATTAGCCCTAAATTTACCTAACGTATCTCACCCCCTTGAGACTGAGATAAGATCCGCAGGGACATTGACTGTCAACTCACTCGTGCAGCATCAGCTCCCTGGAGTGGTGCCTAGAAGTCTCCAGGCATCGAAGCCTTCCTGGATCTCGGGATAAACAGCCTGAGCAGCAATGGGAGTAAGGACTTCTCCAGAACCACCTCCCAGAACCAGAGCAGAAATAATGACCAACCAGACCACTGACCAAGACAGCTTAGTTACACATGCCTCCCCCCACCCAAATGATTCCTTTATTTAAACCAAAAGCTTCTACTGGGCACAAATTACGCCTGTAATCCCAGCAGTTTGGGAGGCTGAGGCTGGAGTTCAAAGAAAACCTCAGCAAGGCCCTAAACAACTCAGCAAGACCCTGCCTCTAAACAAAAATTTTTAAAAAGGACTTGGGATGAGGCTCAGTGGTTAAGTGTCCCTGAGTTGAGTCCCCAGTTTTTTTTTTTGTTTGTTTGTTTTTGTTTTTAATATTTACTTTTTAGTTGACACAATACCTTTATTTCACTTGTTTATTTTTGTATGTGGGTTGAGGATCGAACCCAGGGTCTCACACGTGCGAGGTGAGTGCTCCAACGCTGAGTCACAACCCCAGCCCCCCCCACAGTTTTTAAAAAATAAATAAATAAATAAAGTTTCTGTCATTGCCCTCGGAAATTATGCTGGATCTCACTCTCCCTCCCAATGAAGCCATATGGATTAAAGTTTCCTTTCCAGATCTTCACCATGACCTTTTCTGTTTGGTTTTGGGGGTGAGTGGCCAGATCTGGCTCATTAGGACCCCTGCAGAGGCTTCTGGCCTAGGACTCTGATAACAAGCCAGCGTGCCTGCGTGTGTGTGTGTGTGTGTGTGTGTGTGTGTGTGTGTGTGTCAGGCTGTAGGCAAAGGGCAGATGAAGGTCTGAGATGGCTGGAGTCTATCACCTAAAGTCTTTCTAAATATGAAAACTTCAGTGTGAGCCTGGCATGGTGACACATGCCTGTAATCCCAGCAGCTCAGGATCACAAGTTCAAGCCCAGCCTGTGCAATTTAGCAAGACCCTGTTTCAAAATAAAAAATAAAAAGGTTTAGGGATGAAACTCACCCCTGGGTTCAATCCCCAATCGTGTGGGGTGGAAGAGGAGGATACTAACCAGTGTTTAGGAAATTAAGCAAATGAAAGTCAAAGCTGTTGTCGACCTTGGGGAAAACATGCCTGAAGGGGAAAGGAAATGTGCTTACAGGTTGCTGCTGGTCCAACTTGGACTCTGTCACACAGCATGATAATGTAAACAGGCAATATTGATTTAACTAGAAAGCCTGATAAGTTAAATGGAGTCACTGTGGGAAGGGAAGAGAGTGACTGCTGAAGGGAATTCTCACCAAAGTCAACCCAGGACCCGGCTCCTTGAGAAATTCCCTGGGAGCCCGTCCCTGAAGCTCCTGTGTCCAGCGTGGTGGCAGGCTGAGTGAAGGAATCTGGAATCTGCAGCTGTGTTTCCCTACATGGTGAAAGAGATTTTGCAGAGGTGATTAAATTAAGGGTCTTGAGATATGGAAGTTATTCTGGATTATCCTGGTGACCCTATGTGATCATGAGGGTCCTTATAACAGGGAGGCAGAACAGTCAAAGTAAAAGGAGGAGATAGGATGTTAGAAGCAGAGCCTGGCAGGATGCAGCCAGGAGCCAAGGAAAGTGGGCAGCCTCTAAATGCTGGACTCTCCCCAGAGCCTCCAGAGGAGCCAGGCTTGCCGGTGCCTTGATTTAGTCCCTTTTGATGCATGAGGGACTTCTGGCCTACAGAACCGTAAGAGAATAGACCTGGGCTGGTTGATGCCTCTGATTTTGTGGTTATGTGTTACAGCATCCACAGTATCAAATTTCTCCAGATCCTGAGGCAAGGGAGGCCCCATGCCTGAATGTTCCCAATTTTCCCTCCTCCCCTCTGTACTGCTGCAGTGGCTTTGATGTGACAACAAAGAGCTGATGGCCCCCTGGCTGAAACCCTCCAGACTCCCCCGTCATATCCCATGTAGTCTTTCTCTTAGTCTTTGCATGAGCTCTTCCCTCCCCATCTGGTGGTTGGACTTAGGATCCTGTGTAGGCCCAAAGTTAAGATTCATCCAAGGGAACAACCTAAATAAATGACAATTTTAATAAGAACATGAGGAAAAAAGATTCATTCCAACCCCATGTAGGATAGCATGCAACTGTAATCCCAGCAACTGTGAAGGCTGAGGCAGGAGGATTACAAGTTCAAGGCTAGCCTTAGCAACTTAGCAAGACCCCATTTCAAAATCAAAAATAAAAAGGGTTGGGGCTGGGTGTGGTGGTGCATGCCTGTAATCCCAGCGGCTCAGGAGGCTGAGGCAAGAGGATCATGAGTTCAAAACCAGCCTCAGCAACTCAGTGAGACCCTGTCTTTAAATAAAATACAAAATAGGGCTGGGGATATGGCTCAGTGGTTGAGTGCCCCTGAGTTCAGTCCCTGGTTACCACCCCCCCCCTCCAAAAAAAAAAGGTCTGAGGATGTGGCTCAGTGCTTAAGTGCCCCTAGGTTTAATTCCTAGTAACAAAACAATAAGTTCAAGGCCAGCCTTGGCAACTTAGTGAGTCTCTATCTCCAAAGGGGGAAAAATGTTGGGGAGCAAGGGTAGAGCTTAGTGGTAGAGTGGCCATAGGTTCAATCCCCAGTACCACACCTCCCAAAAAAATATAGATATATATATATATACACACACACATACATATAATTTTTTTTCTATTCCAATTGTGGTCAGAGGTCAGTCTGTAACTGGGGCAGGATGTGGCTGGCTGGCTTTTACACTCCCTGAAGGTTTAACAATCCTGAGACTGCCCACCCCACTCACTCAAGCCCTGGCAGGGAATCTAAGCTGTTGGGACACCTGGTTTGGGCTTCCCCAAGGCCATCTCAGCCATGTCCCTGAGAGAAATTTCTCAAGAGATAAGGAATTCATTCAACTTGGTAAATACCTTTCTTGCCCTGGGTATTTATCTTCAAAAGAACTTATGCCAAACTCCTGGGTATGAGTGTCAACAGGGAGAGACGTCCACCCATGCCTGTAGCTTCTCCCATGCCCCTTGTGTGAGGACAGCTGCATGGAGTTCTGCATACATGGCCTACCTTAAGGGCATCTGGGTGGCAGGCCACGCCCCTTGTGCTAGGCGCATGAGAGGTAAACCACTTACCCCATAGGCCCAGCCCTGGGCATGAGGCTGCATGTTTCAGTCCCTGTGCTTGCTCTAGGGCCCACTCCTCCATGGGTCACTGCAGGGACAGTTGGCCAGAAATTGCAGTGGTGGCTGCCTGTAATCTGCTTAGCTCCTGCCTAAGTATATATATTTGGTAACTGTGCAGACCTGCTTCCTGCTTGGTCTCCAGAGGTCTTGATTAGCGACTCCGCAGCCAAGCTCTCCTCTACCCTGTTCTGTGGACCTCCTTGCTGGACGAGAGAGAGCCCATGTACCTGTTCTACACAAGCCACTTCCCAATTCTTGGTCCAGGTCCTTACTTTGCAAAACGAGAGCATTGGATTCTTATGAGGCCTTCTAAGGAGGCTCTAAGAGTAAAATTCCAAACAAACGAAGAAGAACAAAAGAAAAAAATTAAAATTCCACAATTTTGAGAGTCCGGAGCCTTCAGGCAGCATGACGAAGGCTTCACATTCTGATTAACCTGAGCTCCAGCCCTAAAATTAAAAGGTTCTGGGGCTGGGGATGTGGCTCAAGCGGTAGCGCGCTCGCCTGGCATGCGTGCTGCCCGGGTTCGATCCTCAGCACCACATACAGACAAAGATGTTGTGTCCGCCAAATACTAAAAAATAAATATTAAAAAAATTCTCTCTCTCTCTCCCTCTTTCTCACTCTCTCTCACTCTTTCTTTAAAAAAAAAAAAAAAAAGGTTCTGACTCTGAGCATGGTTGACACACCTGTAATCCCAGCTGCCTGGGAGGCTGAGGCAGGAGGTGTACAAGTTTCCAGCCTCAGCAACTTAACAAGGCCCTAAGCAACAAATACTGGTATTAACAATGGAAGAACTCACCCGGTGCAGTGACACACACCTGGAATCCCAGCGGCCCTGGAGGCTGAGGCAGGAGGATCACAAGCTCAAAGCCAGTCTCAGCAATTTAGCAAGGCCCTAAGCAACTCAGCGGGACCCTGTCTCTAAATAAAACATAAAAGAGGGCTGGGGATGTGGCTCTGTGTTAAGCACTCCTGGCTTCAATCCTCAGTACCAAAAATTAAAAAAGGAATGGAAGAACTCTAAAACTTGGGTAATGAACCCTGTAATAATGTGGAATATGTATTTGGTCTGCTTCTTGTTTTCTTGACATACAGCTTTTGAAACCCTTGGAATTTCCGGTGATAAGAGTGTATTTTGTAAACTTAAAGTGATAAATGGTGGTGGGAGGCTCCCGAGGAGGCTTCAGGATGAAGGCTGTCACTGGAAAGGCCAAGGCAGGAACAGAGGGCTGGGACTGTCAGCCTCAACTCCAAGCTCCAGGGAGGGGAGAGAGGGGAAGGTTGAATTGATCATCAAGGATCCCCGAGTTAACCAATCATGAAGTAATGAGTCCTCCATCAGTACCTAAAAGGACAGGGTTCAGAGGGCTGGACACGTGGAGGTTCCAGGAGGGTGGTGGCCGCCCCCAGAGGACTTGGAAGCTCCAGGCCTCTTCTCCCTCACCCATGCACCTCTTCACTGCCTGTTCATCCTTGATAACATACTTTATAATACACCAGGAAATATAAGCATTTCCCTGAGTTCTGTGAGTCATTCCAGAAAATTAGCTGAACCCTAGGAGGGAGCTGTGGGAACTCGGATTAACAGGCAGTGAGTCAGAGGTGCAGGTTAAACACCCAGAGCTTAGGACTGGCATCTTCAGTGGGGGACAGTCTTCTAGGACTGAGCCCTCAACCTGTGGCATGTGACACCATCACGAGGTAGATGGCATCAGGATATAATTGCATTAGAGGGCTGGGGATGTGGCTCAAGCGGTAGCGCGCGCGCCTGGCATGCGTGCGGCCCGGGTTCGATCCTCAGCACCACATACAAAGATGTTGTGTCCGCTGAAAACTAAAAAATAAATATTAAAAAATTAAAAAAAAAAAAAACAATTGCATTAGAGGACACCCAGCTAGTGTTGGCTGCAGAATTGCTTGGATTATAGGAAAACCACCCATGTTGGGGAGGCAGAACTCTAAAACTTGGGTAATGAACCCTGTAATAATGTGGAATATGTATTTGTTCTACATGTACCTGTTCTACACAAGCCACTTCCCAATTCTTGGTCCAGGTCCTTACTTTGCAAAACGAGAGCATTGGATTCTTATGAGGCCTTCTAAGGAGGCTCTAAGAGTAAAATTCCAAACAAACGAAGAAGAACAAAAGAAAAAAATTAAAATTCCACAATTTTGAGAGTCCGGAGCCTTCAGGCAGCATGACAGCATGACAGTGAGGGCTGCTCACTCCTGCCTGTCAAGAGCTGATACACCTACCCTGGCGAGGGCCTTCTGCATTCTCACCCCCTGGATCCTCTCCAACCACTCCTTATGGAGAAAGCCAAGGCGTGTTGAAATTTATAAAAGAATTAAGTGGAGATGGAATTTACTTTAGCTTTGGAGACATGGGTGTGTAAAGGGAGTCGTGATTTCCACAAAGTAGCACCCAGGAGTGGGTAACCTTTTCCCTGTTCTCTGAGGGCGGGTCTCACCTTCTGGATCAAAAAAAAAAATTTATATAGGACCAGGAGAAGGACAAAAGGAAAAACACATTTTGGTTTTGGGGTTTGTTTTGTTTGTTCTGAGTATCAAACCCAGTGGTGCTTTACAACTGAGCCACATCCCCAGCCCTTTTTTTATTTTGAGACAGAGTGTTGCTAAGTTGCTGAGGCTGGCCTCAAACTTGTGATCCTCCTGCCTCAGCCTCCAGAGTCATAGGTGTAAGGGTCCTGCGAAACGTCGGAGAAAGAGACCACCAAGTGACCACTCATGCAATTGGCAGAAGGGGGATTTATTGAACCAGCATGCCGGGGCTCCGTGCCCACTCAAGAAGGGAAAGCAGCCCAGAGCCCTGAGCAGGGGCTGAGCACTGCTTAAGTACACTTTTTGGGGAGGGCGGAGGGCTTTGTATACATCAGAACAAATCATCATGAGGCGCGGCAAAATTGAACAACAACTCCTAAACATGATTGGTTCATTCATTGGCGGGAACAGGTCAGGCTGGAGTGATAGGTCATTCCTAAGGAGGGGGTTACATTTAAACTGATTGGTCCAGGCCCTGCAATGCCTACGTGCGACCACACAGAGCCCTTATTAAACAACCAAATAGTCAGGGGAAATATTTACTGGGCAGTTCCAAGCATTGTCTTAACAGCTACAGAAATTTCAGGTTTTGCAGGTAGCATAGAAACCTAACAATACCTAATCCTTTACATTTTAACTCAGACCTTGCAGCTTAGAAACTTTACAACACCCGGTCTTTTACCCTGTAACTTTTACGCTTTAACTTCAATTTCTTTTACCCTTACAATAGGGACACATTTTGGTTTCCCGTATGTCATATAATCTTCTTACAAATCTTTGCTTTACAAATTTTTGCTTCCAAACTTTGTATTTGGAAAACAAAAACAAAACAAAACAGAGGAAGATCTAGGCTAACTGTCAGTTGAGAAATCACAAAGCAATTTTTTGGAGATAGGTCACAATTGATTTTTGGCATGCAGGTTAGAAGTTCAAAGAGTTCAAGGAATCGCTGAACTGCTAGTCTGGATTCCTATCCATCTAGTTAGGGGAACACTTTTCTCCATGCTTGCAGCAGAAGCAAGAGGAGGGAGGGAAATGTTTAAACAAAAAATAAACCGAAGAAAGAATATCAGCAAAATGTAAGTGGAAAAATTTCCTTTTAAAAAAATAAATACAAAACCGAAACAAGAGCCAGGGGTGATGTCACAGGGCTGTAATCCCAGCAACTCAGGAGGCTGAGCAGGAGGACCCCAAGTTTGAGGGCAGCCTGGGCAATTTAGCAAGGCACTGTTCCAAAATTAAAAAAAAAAAGGATTAGGGGTGTAGCTTAGTGGTAAAGCATCCCTGAGTTCAATCCCCAGTACAAAAAGAAAAAACAAAACTAACACAAGAAATACACATGGGGCTGGGGCTGGGGCTCAGTGGCAGAGCACCTGCCTGGCACATGTGAGGGTTCGATCGCTGGGTTCGATCCTCAGCACCTTGTGACAATAAATAAATAAAGATATTGTGTCCATCTCCAACTTAAAAAAAATATCTTAAAAAAGAAAAGCAATAAACATGAATAATCCTAAAATTATTAAAGGAATAATCTATAATTAAATACCTTCCCCCTGTTCGTTTTCTTTGTCCTGGAGATTGAATCCAGGGGCGCTCTATCACTGAATCGAATCCCCAGCCCTTATTCTTTTTATTTCTTTTTTCCTTTCTTTCTTTCTTTTTTTTCCCCTTCTTTTTAGAATTTGAGACAGGGTCTTGCTAACTTGCTGAGGGCATTGAAGATGGCTGGCCTCAAACTTGCGAACCTCCCGCCTCAGCCTCCGGAGTAACTAGAGTTACAGGCACATCTCACTGTGCCCAGCTTCATTAGTGAATTTTATGGACTATTTAAAGGAAGAAAGCTTGCCAATCTTACTCAGACTCTTTCAGGGTGAAGGAGATCAAAGTATTCCACCCAAAATGTATCTCTTTCGCATATTTCAAGTTGGCTATTCAGAGAAATTGTAGACCAATCTGTTTCCCCCACTGGACTGAGTCCCTGAGATCAGGACTGTCTCTGTCCCCCACTGTGTCTGTCCCCGGCACCCCCCAGCCCAGCTGGGCTCAGGGCTGCTCACTCCTGCCTGTCAAGAGCTGATACACCTACCCTGGCGAGGGCCTTCTGCATTCTCACCCCCTGGATCCTCTCCAACCACTCCTTATGGAGAAAGCCAAGGCGTGTTGAAATTTATAAAAGAATTAAGTGGAGATGGAATTTACTTTAGCTTTGGAGACATGGGTGTGTAAAGGGAGTCGTGATTTCCACAAAGTAGCACCCAGGAGCGGGTAACCTTTTCCCTGTTCTCTGAGGGCGGGTCTCACCTTCTGGATCAAAAAAAAAAAAAAATTATATAGGACCAGCTCAGGCTGGTTCAAGCTGGTTCTGGTAGCTGAAGAACTTCACAACAGCTGTAGTTGCCAGTGACTGATAGGGCCCTGGGTGGGGGCTGAAATGGCCTGAAAACCTCAGAACAGGGGTTGAAGGAAGAAAGGGAATTCTCTCTCTCTCTCTCTCACTTTTTTAATTAATTTAATTTAATGTAGCCTTTTGTTGTGGTGGTGGTTGTTACCTGAGATTAAACCCAATGTCGCTTAACCACTGAGGCTCATCTCCAACCCTTTCTTTTTTATATATTTTATTTTGAGACAGGTTCTCACTAAATCCTTGGGGCCTGCTAATTTACTGAGGCTGATCTCAACTGACAATCCTCCTGCCTCAGCCTCCCAAGTGGCTGAGATTACAGGTGAGCCTCCACCAATTTGGTTGTTGAGGTACCAGGGATTGAAGCTAGGAGCACTCTTATCAGCACTTGTTTGTTTGTCTTATTTTAGGACAAGATCTCTCTAAATATCCCAGACTGAGGGGCTGGGGATGTGGCTCAAGCGGTAGCGCGATCGCCTGGCATGCGTGCGGCCCGGGTTCCATCCTCAGCACCACATACAAAGATGTTGTGTCCGCTGAAAACTAAAAAAATAAATATTAAAAATTCTCTCTCTCTCTCTCCCTCTCTCTCTCTCTCTTAAAAATAAATAAATAAACCCTCTTATTTACTTCGTCACATAGACTTTCTTATCTAGAAACACTTTCTTTAAAATATATATATATATATATATATATATTATATATATATATATATAATATATATATATATATATATATAGTCTCCCAGGCTGACCCTCAACTTGAGATCCTCCTGCCTCAGCCTCTTGAGCTGTTGGGATTACCCGTGTATGAACCCAGGAAGCAGGAAAGGAGGGAGAGGGTTATCAATCTCTCTCCAATTCCCTATCCTTCTCCCCCGGCCAGGGTTTTCTGTCCCTCTCTGGACCATCCCCTCCTCGCCCTGGGTCCCACCCTCCACCAGCAAGTACAAAGCCAACGGCAGCAGCTGTAAGGCCGGGGGCGTCCCCCGATGGACACCGCGTGTGGAGGGTGCCACTGGGCGTAGGGCGCGTGCGGATTACAGAGCTGCACCGTGGAGAGTCCCCCCGGATTTGGAAAGGTGGTCCTCAGCGTGGAGCGCACTCATGACTTTATCCGGGCTGGGAGGTACCACTCTAGACTGGGCGAAGAGAAGTGCAGCAAAACAGTCCCAAACAGAGAGCACTGGGAAAGGAAGGAGGGGCAGATAAGTGAAGGACCATCCCAGAAAATAGCCACTTAGGAGCCCTGTGACCAGGGGCAGATCACCTTCTGTCCTTCAGCCCCAAATTCCTCAATCCAAGATGACGAGTAATACCTACTTCAAAGAACTACTGAGGCTGGACATGGTGGCGTGCACCTGTAATCCCAGCTACTTGGCAGGCTGAGGCAGGAAAAATCACAAGGTGGAGGCCAGCCTGGGCGATTTAGTGAGACCCTGTCTCCAAATAGAAAATAAAAGGACTTGCCAGGTGCTGTGGCTCATGCCTGTAATCCTAGCGGGAGGCTGAGGCAGGAGGATCCCAAATTCTAAACCAGCCTCAGCAATTTATCGAGTTCTAAGCAATTTAGAGATGCCTGTGACAAAATGAAAAATAAAACAGTGGCTCGGGAGGCTGAGAGCCAGCCTCAGCAAAGGCAAGGCATTAAGCAACTCAGTAAGAACCTGGCCAGGCGCTAATCAACTCAATGAGCCCCTGTCTCTAAATAAAATACAAAATAGGGTTGGAGATGTGACTCAGTGGCCGAGGGCCCCTGAGTTCAATCCTTGGTACCCAAAAATAAATGAAATAAAATAAACCAGTTAGGGGATGTGGCTCAGTGATTAAGCGCCCTGGGTTCAATCTCCAGTGCCCCCCCCCAAAAAAAAAAAAAGAAAAAGAAAAAGGACTTAGGGATGTAGCTCAGTGGCAAAGCACCTCTAGGGCCCATCCCTGGTACCAGAAAAGGTGGGAGGGAATTAACAGGTGGGGAATCGATCCAATTGTTCAGGCCCATTTACTGATGAGGAAAATTGAGAAGTTGAAGACTTGGTCAAAGTCTCACAAAGAGGCAGTGGCGATAGCAAAGAACTGAATTGCGGTAAGTGCAGCTACCCAAAGTTTCCAAAACAGAGGTTCCACCCTCCTCTCCTGTTCAACGTGCAACGTGCAAAACCGTTAAGCTCACGCCCCTGCTACCTCTCATTTTCTAAAACTGCCTCACCAGGCTCCACCGCCCACCTCCACCAACCTCCACCAACCGGCTGATCCACATACTTTCATCCACCAAGATAGCTCTTGCCCTCGGAGAACTCCCAGATCACTAGTGAGACTGGTAAGCTCCCAGGGGTGAGGAAGATTGATGGGAACTGTTCCTCCTCCTGGCCCAGCTCTGATCTAGGTGGAGAAACCAGTTAGACAAATAAGCTCAGATATAAGATTTCAAGCACATCTGCCCTGGCTGTGGATGCAGCTTGATGATACAGACCCTGGGTCCCATCCCCAGTGCTGAGCCTGTTTTTAAAAAAGAACATCTGTTGCAAATGTAAAGGAGAGAAGAATGCCCAGAGGCCAGGAGCTTTGGGAGGAGATTCAGAAAGGGCCCTGGTGGGAGACTGGGAGCATGACTCAGCAGGACCAGTGGGGAGGGGTGAAGGAGGCAGATCAAAGCCAGAAGCTGAAGCCAGAAATCAGACCACCCTGACTCAGACATTCGAAATGCAATTCTCAACCCAGAGAAAGATGCAGTGCCTGAGACAGGAATTTGGGAATAAAGGGAGAAATACCGAGTCTCAAAGGAAGCGCCCACAAACAGTTGTAATTCCTGAGTGACCCATTCTGTGCTCTTGGCCCACACCCTTGACCCGTGCCCTTGTCTGCAAAGAAAACATAATGCAATGCACAGCAATGCACAAGCACAGGCGCGACCTTGTGTAACTCCAGACTGGCTCCATTTCTAGCCCATCTAGCAACCAAAGGTCCCTGTATAAATATTAACACCCCAAACCACCAGATTGCTGTCCCTCCCTCTGGTGATAACCCTCATTGTCCTTTGAATGTGCACTCCTTGCTCTGCTTACGAAGGCATGTCATTCTCTGCCTCTCTTAAGATTGCCCCACTCTCCCTTGAATATGTATCTACCTTCCTAAGTAAACCTCTGGGTCTTTGGCATGTGCTGAAATTCTTTTCTATCATGTATGCCAATAACGCCGCTGGACCTCAGTGAAATTCCCTCTTCTCTTGGGGAACTTCTAGGACCCTCTTTGGAGACATCTCTTCTCCTCTGACATGTTGGAGGCTTTTTGTTGTTTTGTTGTTGTTGTTGTTGTTGTTTTGAAGTGTTTTGTTTTATTTGGTTTTTGTACTAGGGATTGAACCCCAGGTGCTTAACCCTGAACCACATGCCCAATCCTTTTACTTTTTATTTTGAGACAGGCTCTCACTATGTTGCTCACAGCCTTGCTAAATTGATGAGGCTGCCTTTGAATCTGTGATCTTCCTGCCTCCGGCTCCTGAGCCATGGGATTACAGGCCTGCAGCACCACACATGGCATGACTTGCTGATTTAAAAAGGGAAAGACTAGAATCAACCTAGAAATCAGATATGTCCATGGGGAAAATAGATGGAGACTTTTTGACAAGGCCATTCTGTGAAATCTCTTCCAGGAATTAAGATCAATGAACTGCATGGTAAAAAATTAAAAGGTACCTTGGAATATTGGCTGTAAAATGATGGCTATCTCATGCAAGAGAAAGACTAGTTTAAATATTATTTTTTTATACCCAGCCACAATAATTTCTGAAAACGTGTCAAATAACAAAATTACAACTTAAATTGTTTTTGCCCCACATTACTTGGAATTGAACCCACAGACATTCTACCACTAAACTACATCCTCAATCTTTTTTTTTCTTGTGTGTGGAAACAGGGTCTGTCTAAGTTTCCCAGGCTGGTCTCGAATTTTTCATCCTCCTGCCTCAGCCTCCCAAGTTCCCAAATTGCTAGAATTACAGGTATTCGCCACCATGCAGGCCTTAATTAAAAGATCTTAATTGGCTTTATTTATGATTCTAGAATCAGGTAACAAAACAGAATAAGTGTTCCAAAGAACCCAGCACAGGAAGTTTGATTTTTATAAAAAGTGCTAAAGAAAGCAAAAAATGAAGAACAGCATGTCGGTCCTTTAAAGTTACTTTCCTTGTAAGGCGGAGACAGAAGAAAAAGAAAATAACTGATTGCTTAACATCGGGTTTGTCTGTTTGGTTCGAGGATTAGGGCAGAGGAACTTCCTTAAATCAATTGAACTCGACTGCTTGGGAAATTTGACTGTTCTTTCTCTCCCTCTCAATTTCTTGGAAGGTCAGATCACAACTTACATTTGGTTTGGTAACATGGAGCTTTAGCATGAGTAACTCCATTTTTTTTTTTTTGCACTGGGGATTGAACCTAGAGACATAATAGCCCCGGCCTTTTTTTTTTTTTTTAAATACAGGGGCTCATTAAGTTGCTCATTAAGACTCCCAGGCTGGCCTCATACTTGTGATCCTCCTGTCTCAGCCCCCAGAACTGCTGTGATTACAGGCATGAGCCACCAGGCCGGGCTCCACTTTCATCTTCAGTCTGGTCTGTTGGGGCCCAATACAGAAGATCTGTACAAAACCATGGCCTCCTTGTCTCTGTGTTTGAAATGATCATTTTTAAAAATCATGGCATTTGCCGGTAAATGGATGGGGTTGGAGAATAGAATGCTAAGTGAAGTTAGCCAATCCCCAAAAAACAAATGCTGAATGTTTTCTCTGATATAAGGACTCATAATGGAGTAGGGAGGGTGAGCATGGGATGAATAGATGAATTCTAGATAGGGAAGGGGGGGAAGGAAAGGGAGGAGGCAGGGGATTAGCAAGGATGGTGGAATGTGATGGACATCATCATCCAAAGTACATGTATGAAGACACGGAATTGGGTGTCAACCTACTTTACGTACAGAGATATGAAAAATGGTGGTATATATGTGTAATAAGAATTGTAATGCAAAAAAAAAGTACATGTATAAAGACATGAATTGGTGACATTAATATGTAAGACATTAATATGTGAGAAGGAACCAGATGACAGTTGGATACACATGGAGACGGTAGGGACAGAGCAAGAACCGTCCCTGATGCCTATAATTTTATTTTTTTCATGCCTGTCTTCCTGATGTGAATTTGCAGGGACAGAGTCTTATTTTTTATTTTATTTTTTTTTAATTTCTACCCCATGCTCACCCAGCTACAAGGAATGGTACCCAGAAGGTGTCAGGGAAACAGTGGTGTGAGGAAATGGAGTAGGGACAAGGACAGGGATGTAGTGAAGGGGTGAAGTGAGGGGTGGGAGAGGGGTGTGTTGGGGTTCAGAAAGCAATACTCCATCCCATGACACTCACATGCTGATTAGGCAGTATCAGGGAACACCAAATGCAAACAGAGGTTTTCTCTGGGGTCCCCTTATCTACCTAAAGAAGGACTCTTTGAAGACTGACTCAGAGGAGCTGGGCATGGTGGTGCACACCTATAATCCCAGCAGCTCTGAGTGGCTGAGGCAGG